AGTTGTACCTGCCCGGTTCACTTTGGGAATTAGCTCCCATTATCCTCAGATAAAAGGAAAAATGCAGATGTAAGCTTCCTCTTTCTGTGCTAGAGATGTGAAGACTTAGCAGTCACATCTTTCAAAAAGAAATTGGAGTGGTTTATGGGCACTGCTGTTTTCTGTAGAGCATCTTGACAGGGCTCTAGATTGGAGCACAGCAGTGAGCTATGCTACATAGCAGTTCACATCAGCTTCTTTCAGACACATCTTGGAATCACGTCATGAAAAGGTACATCCCAGGCATTTGCCATTTCGGGATAGAGGTTGGTAATGCAGTCATCCCCAAAGAGCCCAGTGTTTTGAAGGGTACGGAAGGCAGGCAGGAAGTGAGCACTGAGAACGAGTTTGAGGTGAGGAAGAGGCAGGGGAGTCAGTAAGTGTTTTACCTGCCTTCCTCTCCCTCCCAACATTCCTGACAGAGTCTTAGGGAAGCAGAGTGCATGCTGGTGCCTTCCTCCTAGGGACCCTCTCAGCAGACTGCAGGGTGAAGGCAGGAGCAGGGCTAACTGGAAGAAAGGCAGAAGCTGTCTAGCACTGCAGAGTTCCACCTTCTTTTGAAGGTCTGTAGATAAGATCAGTGTTGCCGGGGCCCCTTGAGGGCAGGCTCTGGCTTTCTCCTCTACCCACAGCTTAGCAGAGCATTCACAGTCCAGTTGTTGTGCCTAAGGATGAGAGAGAAAAATCAAATGTCACTAGATATTAGCCGAGAGGAACCTGGGCTCCTGAAGTGCATAGCTGTAAGAGCAGAGGGAACTGTGGAGGGAGAGAGAGTAAGGCCCATTAGGCTCCAGCTTTGCTGATTTTGCTTGAGGGTTTTCAGGCTGCATGTACTCCTGGGTATAGAGAAATCAGAAAGTTATGCCTCAGCTGTGGTAGAAATGTGAGCTTGCCTTTACTACATAGAACTGGGTCCCCTCAAAAACAAAACAAAACAAAAACAAAAATCAAAACAAAACAAAAAAGAAGTAGTAGAACTGGGTCCCTGAGTTCGTTCACTTTCCTGTGGGTTACCTCTGGGATGCTCATTTTTCCCCATATATATCTGTTAACATGCCTTTTCACAGCTTCTTAGTTTTGTGAAGTCTCCAGAAATCACACACAATTTCAGAAGCTGTAAGTAACAATTCATTGCCTTTGTGAGTCGCTCTGGTTGATTAAATTCTTGGAAGATATGTGATGATTCCATTTCCCGTATCTTATAGGATGGAAAGAGCCTGGGCAGAACCACATGACCCTGAGTTAGCCAGGAGTATCCCTCCAGGGAGGACTCCTTGAGCTCAGGTCACAGTCTCCAGCTTGGGCTATGGGCTTAACTACTTTTGTTTGCTGTCTGGCTTACCTGAGTGTTTTCCTTAACTGAGATTTGGGTTTCTTTCAGCCTTTGCTTCTAGTTTCTTTGTATCTTTTACTCATCTAGGACTTGCCCACCCCCACACACTTACAGGGGCCACTGAGGAAGCCAGCTAGCAGGGCTGGGGAGCACTGTTGAATTTTTCAGGCGGGCTGGTTTTGTTTATTGGGTGGGGACTCCCTGCTCTGCAGGTGGACTGAGATGGCTTGAATGGGGCCCCACTCTTCTGTTCACCTTATGGTTTGTTCTCTTTATTGTTGAGACTTCCAGAACCTTTAAAGATCTATGAACTTTAAGTTTCCATGAACGTATTTAAAACATCCTGTATTTGACTTCCACTTTAGCTATTTTCTTGTGTAAATCAAACATTTCTTTCTTCATTTGTGAAAATAACCACATCAATGCTTGTCAATATGTGTATTTTGCATTAGAGCACTTCGGTCTTACTTGTGTTAAGTTTTAGGATTATCACAGTAATCCCGTGGCTTGGAGGGCTTTATTTTTCTCCTCAGTATATATGATAGGTGATATATTATGGTAATTAAGAATATGGATGGTAAAACTAGATAATTGGATTTGCATTCTGGCTTTAATAACTTCCAGTATAATATTACCCAACAAATGACTCAATCTCCTCATCCACAAAACGAAGGAACATCTGTTTTATGAGATTCTGAGAAGTGAGTAATTCAGGAAGGTCAGTGGAGCAGTATTTAGCACATAGTAAGTGCTCAGTAAATCTTCTGTTACTAATGCTATTGCCATTGCTAATAGCAGATGAGAAATAGAAACTGGAAAAAATGAAGCATCTTACCTAAGATCACACAGATGGTTGGAAGGAGAGTTCTGGCTCAGCCCATCCTAACCATGGGGGCTTCTGGTACTGGACTCTTCCCACTGTGTTTTCTTTGTGTACCCCAAGGTTATATCAATGAGGTCAGCCTTTATCTTTCAATTCATTGCTTCATTTTCTTCACTCTTTTTCATTTTCTTTGTTTCTCACATTTAGAACTGTTGGGTATTGTCTTTCTAGTTAGACTTTGTCAGTAGCAAGTTTTGCGATGGCCCTTCCCTGTGGGTAGGCTCTCCTTGACACAAAGGTGTCACTCTGAATTCTGTACACACACACACACACACACACACACACACACACACACACACACACTGAGAATATCTTATAATGATTACAGTATACAATGGCATATTTTAAGAGCTTTAAATATTTAGTATTTAGCGTGCGTGCGTGTGTGTGTGTGTGTGTGTGTGTGTGTGCGAGAGAGAGAGAGAGAGAGAGAGAGAGAGAGAGAGAGATGTGTGAGAGAGAGAGGGGGGGAGAGAGGAGATGGACAAGAGAAAGAAGAGAGAGATAGATAGATAGAGAACTTGTAGGAGACATTTCTCTCCTTCTACCCTGTAGGTCCCAGGGATCAAACTCAAGTCATCATGCCTGGTGACAAGTGCCTTTATTGGTGAGCCATCTTGGCAGTCCACTTTAAGAGCTTTATAAACAAGTAATTAATACGCCTCATAAAAAGGAGAGTTTTGGTGATGCTCATTTGACTTTTCACATCCCTTTACAGCAGGCTGAGGGAAGCCACTGAAGTGTGAAAGGGACTTGGACTCAGGGTCAGGTGGATGAAGCTGAGATTCTGGGTTCTCCACATCTAGTCTGAGTCCCTGCATTTCACCACCTGCTTCTGTACGATGGGGTGGATGGAGGTTTGTGGCTGATTCTTCATATGCTCTGCACACAGCTCCCACTCAGTGATGCTGGTATTGCCGCATCCAGGAGCTGTCTTTATCCCAAGGTCACGGCTGGGTCGGCAGCCAGACTCTTACTTGTTCACAGATTGCTGTATGCAGTGCTTCATCTGGGTGTGTTGCTTCTTTGCATTTTAAGTGCAAGAGTTGCGACCTTTCGGTCACTAATTTATTTTTAATGTGTCTATTATGGACAGGCCACTGGCTTTGTGTACCATCAGGTCATGTGCAATTTGGCCTTTGTTGCCAAAATCCCAGGTTTACCTCATGTCACAAGACAAAGTTAATGTTAGTGAAGCCACATGACCAAGGAGGGCCAGTGATGACACTTGCTGGCGCTGTCAGATGGCATTTGGGCATCTCTTCTCAGGAAGGGAAGCAGCCGCACATACCTGGCAGCATGCAGGGCAGTGACACCGAGGAAACACTACAGCTTATCTCTCACAGACTCAGAGGGTTTGGTGAAAAGAGATGAAGTGGAAACACGACACAGTAAAGGACCAGGAATAAGCACCCTGATCCAGCCTGGATTACTTAAGTGGACTGTGGAATAGGTGCTACGTGAACCCGCATGATCTGCTGAGAGAGACAAGGAAACCTACTTAAATCATGACTCAAAATGATCATAGAGTTAGAAGTAGGGAGTGCAGAGAGGAATTCTGTGACACGTGTAAATTTGGGGATACTGAGTTGTTGAAACAGGCCTAGGAGCGTGCTGAGGAGATGTGGGTCTGGAAGTCAGGAAGAGTAGAGTTTGTTCCATGTTTCTGGAATGGAGGTTTGTGGGAATGGTGGTGGGAGAACAGGCTGGAGGGGAGAGCAGAAAGCTAAGTCATTGGAGAACTTGTCACCATGTCGAAAAGATGTAGGTGAGCAAGTGGGTGAGAGAGGACTGTAGTATGCCAGTGTTTTGGTACACTCATTCTGAACATCTACTGGAACAAGTGAGAAATAAAGCCCTGAATTAAACCCCAGAAGAGGGAACAAACAACTTAATAGCAATGTAGGCAACTAGATGACACTATCAGAGCTTCAGGAGCTGAAAGAAATAGGACACTGGAGTGGGCACAGTATTTCATGAGGCCTCCATGATGGCAGAAAATCTGAGTGGTCAGCTTGATATGTGGTCAGTGACCTGGATACTGAGTGGCAATAGGTTTTGTATAGGAGGCAGGAAGTGGCACTGGGTTGTATAAACGTGTGAGCTGGTCACGAAGATACCTCTACTGAAAAACGATAATAAAAAATCAGCTTGGTTGCAAGTTTAGAAGGCTTTGGATGTGAGATGAGGATTTTGAACTTATATTAATCAATAAGAAGCAACTAACAATCCCTTAATATTTTCAGTATGGGTCAGTACTGTGCCTCTTCATCTAGGTTTCTTCATCATGTTGTACCTAGCGTGAGAAGTTATATTCTTGCACTTAATGGACATGTCAAGAGGCAGCATTACTTTTGGCTTGGAAACTCTGGCTCTGCTTTGGCTTTAGAGACACTGGAATAGCCACTGTCTGGAGACAAAGACAAATAAATTAGTGCCAGAGGAGAGAGGTGGTGTCAACAGAAAGACGAGGAAAACTACTTGCACGGCAATCTTTTAGGGATACAAAACAATACATATGTTCTGTTCTCATTCTAGACCAATTATGGATTTGTTACTTGATCTTGCTAAGTTTTCCTACTGGGTTCAATGGTAGTCTAGAACTGCTGTGAAGAACACATTGCTCTATGTGGTTGGTATGTAACTGAACAGAGTTGGTGCTGGAATTCAAACCCATTTGACATATCTGGCATGAAAACTAGGCTACAACTATGTCCTAGTACAAATGAATGTTTGCTTTCTCAGGTGGAACTTGCAGAAATCTGTGCCAAGAGTGAGCGTTACATAGGCACTGAAGGAGGAGGCATGGACCAGTCCATATCATTTCTTGCAGAAGAAGGAACTGTAAGTAGCATTGAGCCAGTTGGAAATTTTGACTTGGGAAAATTCTCTGGAGGGGAAGGCCTGCAACCCCCAGCACACACAGTGATGGGACATCTATTGTTTCAGGCTCTACTGGAGAACATTGCCAGAGTTCTGTAAGTCAGAATGTACTCTATTTCATATTGATTCTCTCTACCTTAAGCATCCAGAATCATACTTCAAACTTACTTTTCTAGGACATACACACCCCCACCCACCATATCTCATTGCTAAGATGAGATTTCTCAATTCCCTCCTTGGGACCTCCTTTCCTGACCTTGTATGAAATCACTTCATCTTGTGGTGTTTCATAATCTCACGTTGGCTTTAAACCCAAATGTTAGTCTCTTACCACATATATGCACAACCCCTCTTTTTGTAAATTACTCTTTGGTGTCATTTTTTTTTCTGTCAACATTTTTGGGGCTTTGGCGGTGGGAGGAAGAATGTTGATGGCAGGCCAGGGGTAAATTCTTCAGTTCAATACCACTTCCTCTTGGCTATCAGCTCCTTCAGGCAAGACAGAGGTTTGGGTTTTTGCCTGTGAACTGCCCATTACCAAAATAGAAGCAGGCATCTCTTTAAGATCTGCCTTAGTTTTGCATGAGATTCCTTCAGGTTTGGATGTTTTCCAAGAACACCTGGATCCTTCTTATTAAGAATATGCTTTTGTTGATTCTTCTAAGTCAAAGACATGAGGTATGAGGAAATTTGCTTTAACACTAAAATTATACTTTGGGTGTTCTGGATGTGAACTGGCAAGCAGATGTTGTGGCAGGAGTTCTGTTGTTAGTTTAAGTTAGATACAGGGTTTGAAGGGAGTCCTCATTGTCTGGACTTGCAAAGTGCATCACCACCTGACTCCCAATTTCTGCCTCCAGCTTAGCCTCTCACTCTATAAGCTCTGAACTTCAGTCCGGTATCAGTTCACAAAGCTCCATTCACACTAGTGCCATTTGTTAACGCTCCATACTACAGAAATTCTTCCTTCTTTCTGACATCTTCATGCATCCTTTAGGACTCAGTGTATATTTCTCTTTTCAAAGGCTACACTAGGTTGTCTGATTAGGTCCTTCCATTAAGCATCCGTGTAAGACCCAACTTCATGGTGCTACCACTGACTCACATGGAAACATAATTTCATGTCTTCCCACAGCGACTGTGGTCTCCAGGAGGGCAAAGGAAGCACCTGTCCTGTTCACTGTTGTGCTTCCAGTGCAGTGCCTGGCTATCAGTAAATGGTGTTTGAATGAATGCACCATTTTGTAGAAGCCTTTCTTAAGATGGAATAAATGCATAAAAGCTTGAACGTGTTTTTCCAAATCCTAATAAATGATTGTCTCCTCTGTCACTTGTCTTCCAATAGGCCAAGTTAATAGAGTTTAGTCCTCTGAGAGCAACTGATGTAAAACTCCCTAGTGGAGCAGTCTTTGTGATTGCCAACAGCTGCGTGGAGATGAACAAGGCAGCCACTTCCCATTTCAACGTCAGAGTGATGGAGTGTCGGCTGGCTGCAAAGGTATGCATGTGGCAAACCAGTGAACCTTGCAGCGTGCCTGCTTTTTCCTGCTTAGCCTCCATTGGTTTGTAGTTCCCCCACACTTTAGAGTGATGCTCTGACTGTAGTGAAGCAGCACTCTAACTGCAAGTCTTTGGGTCCAAAGCCATCAGGTTCTGAACAGATAAACCAACAGGTTCATCTTCTGCTCTCTGCTAGCTCTTTAGGAACTGGATGGCGTTCCCAGAGTGTAGGTTCTTTGTCAGAGATCTCTGAAAGAATTAATGACCTTGTGAGTCAGCATGTCCACACTGAGCTCAGCCTCCCCTCTACCCCCGAAAGCTGTTTATTCTTCTACCAGTCAGATTGGCGTGTATCGACTCCTGCATTCTCTTCTGCCCTGTTCCTTAAATCTCTGTTTGCCTTCCTCCTCCTCATTCTGCAAATCATGGGATGATGGTGTAGAAATTTAAGCCCTTGTTTACCACTTCCCCAGAGTTTCCCATTACTTTGGCATAAAGTAAAAGCCTTGCTGTACTGAACTGAGTTGAGCTGCCAGTAGTTGGGCAGGAACTGTCAGACAGTGGAGGAATTCACTCTTAACCATTGCAGTAAAAATAGCTTATGGGATATAGTGCAAGAAGAAATGGTTGAGGCAGTGACTACAATACCACCTACAGCAAAGGACTCTTGGCTGGCTAGGGTGGGGCCGGGCTTCCTCCATGTAGGGGACTTGTTCAGTTAGGGTGAATTTCTTCATGTGCACTTTCCCAGACTGTAACTCATGCCATATGAAGGAGGGCAGTCCAGGCTGGCTGGGTACCTCACCTGCTGCCCATGCAATTTCTAGTTGTGCAATCTCTGCCATGCAAATAAGGGAAGCACTCACTGGCTGCTCATAGTTCAGTCCTGGTCCAAGGCTCAGGCCACGGGCCTCTAGGCTGAAGTTCTATGGTGTTAGGTTACAGCATTCCAAGACTGGCAGTTTGGGATTCCTGGACCGTGCTAGTGAAAATTCTCTAATGGGAACCAGCCACATTTTCTGATCTTTTATTAAGTGTCCTCCCCTCACACTTCTCTATTGCTGTGAGACCCCAGGCTGGTGTATCTTATCTCAGCATCTCCTAGCATCCCGTGCAGTCACTATGGCAGATACCATTCTCATCTCAGGAGACTTCCCACATTTCCAGGATAGTTTTTTTTCTTAGCCCTCTTTGAAATATTTCTAAACAACCCCCAAAGAAACCTTGCTTGACTTCCTTATTCCTAAGCTAAGTAGAGATCCCCTACAATTTGTAGCACTTACATTTGTTTGCTATGTAGAGGGATCGCTCTATACTTGTAACATATTGTCAAGTGGAGAGAAAGAATTGGGACAGAGTAGTCAGTCATTCCTTCATCTAATAGAGTTCATTCTGGGACATGCTAGCCAATTAAGGACACAAAAGTTAACAAGATGGATGTAGTTCATTTCCCAGGTAAAGTTGAATGTGAAAGAAGAGACAAATGTTAAGCAAATGCCTGTTTCCAGAAAACAGTTGACTTGTAGTCAGTTATTGCCTGTGGCTCTTACAGTCTTTATGCCCTCTTTTATGCAATCCCAAGCCTTGGGAGGAGGGCTGTGATACAAATGTCCCATTTAGGGATGAGTGTTCCAAAGTCTCTTACTCTCTGTACCTTAATCAGTTGTAGGTCTCTATTTGATAGCAATAGATAACTAATAATTCTACTAAATGGGTGTAGTATTAACCGACATTATTAAGTCCTAATGACTTAGTATTGTAACATAGATTCATGTATCCCTCTACTCCCATCAGAATCTGCTATTCAACCCTACTTTGTAAAGCTGTAAAGTTGGGAGAGCTCAGCTACAATGATTTAGGAAAATAAAGTTGCTTTTTCCTGAAAAATTTGGGGGTGAACTTTTTTTTTTTTAAATGAAGATTTAGATATTTAAATTTGGAATCTACTCATTGAGATAATTGTTAAAATTCTGTAGGGAAATGTTTTAATATTAAGCTTCACAGCATCTTATCAGTACATACATGTGGCAGACGCAGTGGTTGTTCAATGACCGTTTTCTGCTGGGACCCACTTCCTTCTTGGGAGGTGGAAGACATCAGTGTTCCCTTGAGGGCTTACTCATTTGTTTTTTATCGTGAGGTTGATGAGTAAGTGTTGTCTTCCCAAGGAGACTCCAAACATATACAACATTATTTTCAGGGTTTTAGCACGAAATTCAAGCCCCTCTGCGAGAGCCACAGCAACCTGGAACAAGTGTGATGCATGCGATGGGTTCATGCTGTGACAGCTCTCTTCCAAAGACACCAGAAGGATCCAAGGAACAGTTGTCTGGGAAGCTTTACTGAAAGTTCCGGGCTCGTTGGGGAATGTCTTCAGAGAGCTAACGAGAAGAGAGGGCATGTCTTTCATAGCCGAAGCTTTTAATCAAATTCAGAACCTTTTACTCTTGAGGACGTCTTTGGAAGACGTTGCTATGTATCTTAGGCTGGCCTAGAACTGGTCTAGAAGGGCCTCAAATTTGCCATCCTCCAGCCTCCATCTCCTAAGTGTTGGGATTACAAGCATGTGCCAGCTGAAATATGATTGGAATTTCTCTGAATGTTTTTAAAGGTACTTTGACATTGAAACTGACAACTGAATTTGACTATTTGGTATATATTGCTCCAAGATAATATAGATAAAGCACATTTTAAAAACCAAAGTTGCTTATAAATAAGCTTCATTCAGTTAAAAGCAGGCACAGTTCCTTTCTTTCAATTAGTTCTTTGAGAATTTCATGCCATGTATTTTGACAATAACTACCGCCACCAACTCTTTTCAGATCTACCCTATCCCTTAATCAGCCATATTTGTGTTTCCCCCTGCTTTTTTGTTTTTGAATAAACCATGGAGTTCATGATGGGTGTGGTGGTATACACTTTTAATCCTAGCACTGGGGAAGCAGAGGGACAGCCTGGTCTACAAAGTAAGTTCCATGCCAGCCATTGTGACAAAGTAAGACCCTGCCTCAAAAACCAAGCCAAACTGAACCAAATGAAACAACAATAATAGCATTCCAAAACTACAATCCCAATTAAACCATCAAGTCCAATTATTCTTGAATGCATGTCCCTATGCTGGGGAGTATGGCGGAACTACCAGCACCATGCTCTTAGACATGACTTAAAGAAAGCCGACTCTCTATTTTCTGTCAGCTATCAGGTACCAATAGTTTCTTGGTTGGGGGTGGAATGTCATGCCACCTTCCATCTCCAGGCTGAGATTTTGCCTGACTTGAGCTTGCACAGGCTTTATTTTTGCTGTCACAACTGCTGTGAGTTCATGTGCTCAGCTACCCTGTTGTGTCTGGAAAGCACTGTTTCTTTCCTTTTAGCCTTGCACTGCATATGGCTCTTTGAATCTTTCCACCCTTCCTTCTCAATGAGCACTGGGAGGAAGGAATATGATATGATGTCCCATTTATACTGAGAATTTCTTATTCTCTGCACTTTGACTAGTCCTGCATCTCTATTAGTTGCTTCTACTGCAGAAAAAAGCATTTTCTGGTGTGAGTTGAGAGATGCAGAAATTTATGGACATAATAAATATTAGGAATGGGTTTAATACTATGTCTATTCAGCAGAATAGTAGTAGTAGGTTCTCTCCTAGGGTCTATGACCTGTCGAGCCTCAGTTTCTTGGACCCAATAATTATTTCAAGTATGTGTTTCATCTTATGGAGTGAGCCTTAAATCCAATCAAAAGTGATTGGTTACTCCCATGACATTGATTCTACTATTGCACCAGTGGACATGTCAAACTAGGTCAGTTGTTGTAGCTTGCTACTGCTAGGAATGGGGGTGGGGGGGGGAGTAATCATCCATCTTGCCCAGCTATGAACATTGAAATCCACAATTCATTTTTAAAGGGGAAATATAAGAAGGCAATATAACATCCATTTAAGATTATAATTTGGTTCCTTTTCAAAAATGGAGGAGAATTCAGATATCATTTGTCCTCATTCTAGCTTCTCAAATTTCTGAGAAATAACACATTAAATCTTCAATCCTAGTTACCTGCTGCAAAAAATCCAGATACCTTTCCATAGAAAAATGAACATCCTGGTTTCTTCTCTTGCACAAATGCATGTCATTTGGCAAACAGGTTTGGTAACATTCATGGACATGGCTGCCCTGCAGGACAGCTTCCTTGTCTTTCTCGTCTCCTGTCATTCATCTTTTATATCATTTTCCATTGGAGAAGATTGCTGATTCCTGCCTCCCTTTTCAGTCTCATTCAAAAGGGGAAGCAGACTGTGGTTGTCATATGACATGCATTTCAGAATGTCTTGAGTCACACTTGGTTTTGGTTTTAAGCAGATGAACTTCTTGGAGAATGCTCAACATTTAGTGTTGACTGTGGAAGGGCATATTTTTAGAAGATGCTTCAGAAATAATGTGTTGCTTTCCCCTTTGCTTTAGCATCATTATACATGGTATTTTAAAGCCTCTTAACCATCTATAACTCCAACTCCCGGGGAACAAATGTCTCTGGTCTCCACGGGCACCTGCCTTCATGTGTACTTAACCTACCCACATAATTAAAAAATAAAATAAAACCTTTAGAAAGATGTGTATGTATACCTGTACATGGGACTGTGTGGATGTGCGTGCAGGTGCTTGTAGAGGCCAGAAGATGGCATTGGATTCCCTCGAGCTGAAGCTACAGGTGATTGTGAGCTGCCTGATGTGGGTGGGAACCACACTGTGGTCCGCTGCAGGAAAAATATGTGCTCTTAACCTTTGGGCCACCTTGACCAAGGTATAAGACATATGAACGGGGTGGGGGGCACAGCTATTCAATAAGCAGTACTGGCAAAACCAGACATCCATTTGTGGAAGAGTGAAATTGAGGTGTAACTCTCTCACTCTGCACAAAAACCAGTTCAAGCTGGATTTAAAAACCTCACTTTAAAGCCAGATATGATAGTACTGATAAAGGAAAATGCTTCTGGATGTA